AGAGAGAGAGAGAGAGAGAGAGAGAGAGAGAGAGGAATAAGGAGAAATAGATTATCCCTAAAGAGTTTGGAGAATACTAAGATTTAATGAACACTGCATGCAAAAATGAAAAAGATAATAGAAACCACAGAGCACAATATTTGTCTATTTATTAACATTTATAGGCAGTTTAAAATATATAGCCTACAATTAAAACTATGTATTTTATAATACTCTATACAAGTCTTTATATGGAAATAAAAACATTTTAAGCCTTTTCAGATACACGTTTAAAAAATACGAAATGAAAAATAATGTAAAAGCTTAAGCATGATGACTTTAAGTTTACAATATTTAGGGCCTGCCAAAAAGCTCAGCGGACTAAAGCGTCTGCTTAAGCAGATGTTGCGGCCGGTTCGATCTCCGCCGGTGTGCCGTGCCGGCCCAGCCCCAGGGGCGTGCTGAGTCGGTGATTGAGACAGCGTGGTGGCCTGTGCCTGTAATCCCAGCTCTTGTGAGGCTGAACACAGGTGGATCCCTATGAGTCCGATCTACGTAATGAGATCCTGTAGACTCTGTACAAAAATATAAGTAAATAAATAAGTAAACAAATTTACAATATTTTAAAATGCTTTTAAATAATTTTTGTATGAAAGAAGATGAAGCAGTGAAGGTAATAAATTTGAATTCTCACTAGCAACATTGTCTAGAACTTCCTGTGAAGAAGTTGGTGTAAATTCATATTTATACTGCCTGTGCATTAAAATTGAATTGAGCCATGGAACAACAAAACTCACTTTAAATTTTATTTAATCAATGCAGAGTAGCTGTATCTGATGGCTACTGTAAAGGACAGTGTAGTTTAGTAAAATAAGATATATTTCAATGTCCAGTATTGATGTCTTCTACAACTACCTTCTAGGATAATTACTGATCAATCAAACTAACAGTGAGGAAAACCCACAAGCCCACAAGGAAAGGTGAGAAATTTCAGTAAGACATTGCTAGGCTTTGGTTGGATGCTAGGTGGAGATTTTCTGATTAAGTGAAGTTAGTGAGACAGCTATGATTGTGTGTGTCTATAATTGTTACTTGTAGGGAACAGAACGAGCATAATGCTGAAGCCATAGCTGGGGAAAAGGGATGCCTGCCTACTTCGAGGGTAGAGAAAGTGGGAGGTGTTGGGTATACTACAGATGAAGTCATCTTTCTTCTGTGAATATGTTGATAAAATTACTACCAAGTGGCCTCCATTTGACTGATAATGTGCTTTTGAAAGTCAAGAACTGTTTTTTTTTCCTTTTCCTCATGAATATGTGCCCATTAGTAAACTATAAATCCTTTTCCAGTGAGGACATATCTCAATATTTGTCCCAGGCAATTGATCAAATTGCATGCATTAACCAATTTTCCAAATAAACATTTCTTGTAAGAATGTTTTTTTCTTCTAATTTTAATTTTCTTTTCCTCAACCAGTGTTTCTTGGAATGCTCAACTGTTTCTAGCTCTGTCCTCCTGCAGTGGGAGGTAGAAGTGGTGATGCACTGTGTTCTCTTCCTACCACTTCCTTCCCAAGTGCACCACTGCCACTTGCTGGCTATACTGCTGCATTCATCCTGTGCCATGGTCAATCCATTTTTTTCCAATATTTTGCCTCTTGATTCAATTCTCTTTCCATCCCTTCTCTTTCTTACATCTCTGTGGTTTCAATATCTGTATCTATGATCTTCCCAAGGACCTGATATTTCAATTACTTGACTTTCTCTTCTTCATCCACCCTTCCCAGGGTCATTCCCTGAAATTTATCATCATTAAGAACTGAACAGATATTACAATGATAAATATCAGATACTCCCTTTCCAAGCACCATCTCCTGTTTTTCTCTGGTTCACTTTCTTTAATTCCTCACACTCATAAATCTTTCATCTTAACAAGGGCCTGCAGTGCTATAGTTTTGCCATCTTTAAATTATGCCTCATCTCTACCCATTAATCTGTAACTTCTTAAATTGCCTATAGTCTGAAAATCAGTTACAATATTTTAATTATGCAATAAGTATGCTTTGAATTCCCTTGACTTGTCTCCCTTCATTTATTCTGGGACAAATTCACATGTTTGTTAAATGCAAATCTATCTTATCTATGCCTGCACCGCGTAGCTGAACATATTTGAAGAGAAATACAACAGTTCTTATTTTGTCAGCTTAAAGACTTTTACTCTATTACATCTACTGCTAACAGAAAGGAAAGATAAGCATAAAAGATTATAAGTTTCATATTTGATGTAGGACTTTGTTTGCAGAACACATAAAGAGCTCTCTGACCCAATAATAGTAAACACAGAATGATTTCCAAATCATTTGAATAAATAATTGGAAAATGAACTTGCACCTAGTGTAAATACACACTTGGAGATGTGCTCCACGTCATGCATCATCAAAAGCTTAGTGTGATACAATGTGTGCTTTTTAGAATATACAAAATTTTAAAAACTCATCACATAAACTGGAGATAAAGATATGACAGAATTGGGAATGTCACATACTGCTGATGATATTTACATACTTCAATCACTGGAAGAGTCATGGGAAGTTTCTCTACAAGTTTCAATATGCACTTAGCATACGACTCAGACATTTCATTTCCGGTGCTTACCTAAAATAAATGAAGGCTCAAGCCCATGGATAAACTCACATGGCAGTGTTCAGTGCCACTTTGTAGAAAACCTAGAAAGAACCTAAATGTCAATCAGCCAATAAAGACATTTAAAAAGGTATATCCATACTATAGAATACTCTCTAGCAGAAGAGGAAATGGGCCACATACATATTCCTGTTGAGTGAAAGAAGGCCACACAAATGGAGTACATAGTTATGATTCTGCATGCAGGTTTAAAATGAAACATGTCAAATGGCTGTTGTGAGGGCAGAGAGGTATGAGAAGGAAGGATCACAAAGTGACAAGATGATTTCTGGAGTAATCCCTTTAGTCTTGAGCCAGGTTCTTTCCTACCTCTAGATTTTGCATTTTTTAATGTACTAGAAAACATGTTTATAAATTCTTTTATGAGATAGAAATCTCTTTAAATATCCCCTTGCTGGTTATACACCCCAAGACTGTCTTTCAGAATGGAATCCTATTTATTTGAAATATAACCATCAATAAACTGTCACCCTTTCCTGAACCTGGAAAGGACTCAGAGCCTAACCTCAGTGATGCTTTGGCATAGGCTGTAAACTTGAACTCATGCAAATACAAGACAGTGAACTCTTTGCCTTGGGTAAGGCCAATTATTGAACATAATTTATGAGCACCCAATCCCACTGGTACAACTGCCCCACCTGCTGTTCAGCAGAGTTGAGATCTGACCCATTTCTCCCTTTCTCCACTATGGCAAGTCTTGTTTGCAGCCTTCCTATTATTTAGCCTCATTTTGTGTCATTTTGTCTTGACAAGTCAATGGATATGTTTGCTATCCTGAGTGTATTTATAACCTCATGGGCTTTCACATATGCCAACATTCCACATCTAAAATATATGTGTATATCATACACACTTATTACTGAACTGCTATTAACTTTTTTTTGAGACAGAGTCTTACTATGTGGTTCAACCTGGCCTTAAACTCACTATGTAGTCAGGCTAGACTCACACTCAAGTCAATCCTCCTGCCTCAGCCTCCTCAGTGCTGGGATTGCAGGCATGTTCTGCCACACTCAGTTTGCCATTAATCTATAAATGCTATTGTTATGGAAACAGACCAAACACCAGAAGAAATATCATCAAGAAGGTTTAGGAGGCAGTTTGTTGCACAGGTGGGCCTTTGGGTTTTTTTCCCAAAGAGTAAATGCCACATCCAATAGGGTTATGGAACTTTTATAGGGAGAGTGATCTGGGAGGTACAAAGGCAGATTTGGCACATTGTGATTGGAGGGGTGGGGGACATCATCTGTTGGTAAGGGAGTTTGAAATATTTCAAGTTACATTGGAAGGGCATCAGTTAAACAAGTGTGGGTTACACAAAGGAAGAGAAGTCCCATTATTAGGCTTGTCTAGAAATGTCTATCAGATTTTGGTGGGCATTCTTGGCAGATTTTATTTGAAATGATAATTTTCCTTTCACTATAACAAGGCCCAAACTTAAAACAGATGACTGAATCCCAGTTAATACAACTAATATGTCCATTTTGACATTTCACAGACCATGTTTAGGAAATCGACACTACTTGTATGGCTACAGCATATAGAGTTTGTTTTCTGTTGTCAAGGAATAGTGTGGTGGATTGATGAATGGGGGTCAACTTGTAACACCCAGATGAATGAACCAGCATGGATATGGGTATGAGAAGCCTACCTGAGGATTGTTGCCAGCAGCATAGAAGGCAGAACAGAACAAGGTTGTTAAGAGGCAGTTTGCAGGCTGAGAGAGTCATTGCTTCTGCTGGAACACCTTGTCATCATGGCTTTCCTGATAGATTCAGCTGCTCTCACCATTGGAGGAGGAGCTCATTCTCCTACGGTTGAGAATGTCTACAGTTCACTAAGCAGGAGCTCTGCCTCCAGAGGGGAAGATGAGGCATT